GCGCAATTTTTCACCCAACTCGCGATTCTGTTTTGCAACATTTTATCAATATTCCCTTTGACAAAATCGCCGACAAAAGCACCGCTTTGCTGATCTTTTGTTCTATAATTCTTAATGCAAACACCGACCCTAGTAGTAATTAGTAACGTCGCCTAGTACATATGAACGGTCGTCATTGCAAATCGAACATCCTTTTGAAATTTGGACGTCGGGCAGGCGATTTCAAGGCACCGCACTTAAATATTAGCAACATATTTTTCTGAGCGGTTGTTTATTCTCTTTCAAACGAGACATAAATGTGACGACATAGTCGATCCCTTATCCACCGCTAAGAATGCCGCAATGTTTCGTTCGTTTTGCAACATGCCACAAATCGTCGAAAAAAACACCACTTCGACGGAAGCTTGCGTAATAAGGGGGTTAAAACAAGAAAACAAATGCCATGTTTAATACATATCGACCTGTTTTACTTGCGAAAGATAACGGAACATGAACTCGTTTCGTGCGACTTCGGAACCCGAAGGAACACACCAACAACGTTGAATTTACCCGCTATCTTCCAAATATGGTATATTAATTTATTCAGTTGTTTATTTAGAGTGACGTCCGCGGTCGAATGCGATTGGCTATCGATGTCAGTGCAAAGGTCATATGAATATTAAAATTAAGTGGGCGGAAGGAAAATTGTATAGGAGACAAGCTGGAGTCTCGTGTGGCGATAGCGATAACACCGGGACGAATGGTCTGGGGTAACGTAACACTTGATCCCCTCTAAAATTTTTGTTTCGCATTTTAAGGTAAGAAATCGACATTTGAAACCGACAGGGTGTCGATTTACTCGGTGCCGTGTTTCACAACTTGTTTATTTATATACGTATAGCGGATGATTTTTTTTTGAAAATTAGTATTTATTGATTTTCAGCCCCAAGTGACTGTGGTTTCTTTCCTGATTTTTGAGTCTTCGCAATGTGTTTTGTATAATTATTGTTGTTTTCCCCCGATGCTGAAGGACCGTAAAGCTAAATGGCAGTTTCATGCATGGGCTGAGTGAAAGAAAATATTTCTAGGCCTAAAATAAAACCTAATATTACACCTCTTTGTGTATTTGTTAATTTTACATATGTTTGTCATAACAGTATGTTTGTAAATATCTAGAAAAATCTCGTCTTTCGTTGATAATTTCGATTGTTTGTTTGGAATGTCGATCCCCTTGGTTTCTCCATACTGAGTTTAGGAAGGGCGTCGATCAACATCGTGACAATCAGCCGAGAGAAGACAAACATTGACCGTAATTCATGGAGATCATGTCCGTAATTTGTGGGCTGAAACCCCAAATAATTAATCAAGTATTATTATTTTAATATATATTTTATTTTACATCGCAAAACTAAACCATGCCCAAAACAGAGCTAGAGTTGTTCGCGGTGAAACAACCGCATTGAAGACGATGCAACTTCAACTAGCCATTTCTTACCTTGAAATAAAAAAAATAAAAATTCGAAGAGCATCGGGGAAAATATTAATAATCATCCTTATCAATCGCTTGCTTTATTTTATTCGAATCCATGAAATTCACGATTTTTTTTACATTTGTTGGCAACTTCCGCGCTAAAAAAGATTGAAAATGTGGGTGTGGTTATTTTGCAAAGTCCTGTTGATAATACGTCTCAGCCAATCAATGATGTTGTAACAAAGCATATTTGACGCTAATTGAAGGGTCGTCGTACAATCCAATCACCGGCGTCGATTCACATTGTTGTTTGTGCTGTGACAGGCTTCAAAATTATTCGCTGAAAAACATATTTTGACAAACTGATGGAATTTGACCTTAGTTCAAAAAGAAAATACTAGGCTAAGATACATTAGAGCTCACGCGAATCAGTTTTCTCTGCAAGTTGTGAAATAAAGTAAACCAGAGTAGCGTCGATGATTTTCAGCCCTGAAGGACATTGAATTGTTCATCGACTGGCCACCAAATAGTTATGGCTATAACTAAATTTGACACGTTTTTCTTTTAAGCCCAATAAATTATTCATACATGTCAAGCTCTGTTCGATTTTTTTCAGGGCATGTGGCCGTTTTTAGTCGAAAATATTTTTTGTGGGAACACTTTTGCGGTACGTATACAGTATAGACCGAGCTCATTCAATGATCGTGACTTAATTTTAAA